ATCCGTTTTTGATGTTTCTTTTAAGTCTAACAAAAAGACGGGTCAATCCGTTTTCAAGGAGATATTTAAAATGACAATATTACGGGAGAAACTGTTAAGGAGCTTGCATAAAAGAAAGAAAAAATCCGGGTCAAACCGTTAAAGGATTAAAATTCGTTTGACTGTCAGGTTAGCAAAATATATTTGGGAATGGATGGAATATTCATACTTTAGGTAGTGCTGCATAAATTAATTTTTAATAATTTCATCAATTTGCAATGATTAAGTGTTTTTTTATTGCGTTAAAATGTTTTAATGGTGATTTTATGTATTTTATGGGGTTGTTCTGATCTCATTTCTTGTACCTGTTTCGAGTTACATTGCAAAATTTTCTTAAAATTTGTTTGCAAAACTGACTTTTTTATTATCTACAAAATTATCTTTCTTTAAAAATCTTGTTCTTGAAATTTTAACTAGATTAAAATTAAAGAAACTGTGCATATAATGGTATGCTTACATAAATTTCCAATTTTGCAATTTACTTGAAAATTTGTAGTCATTTCTGCACGTTTTGGATATTTTTATATGTAACATCTCAGAGAAAATTTAGCCTTTTATTTTTGCTTTTGTACATAGTTGTTTTATTTATTACTCAGATTTTTCATCTGTAATGTACTAGAAACTCTGCTTTTTGCTATGTAATACAGTTTTAGTGACAAAGTTTGTTATTTTATCAAATTCAGTAGATATAAGCTATAAAATTTCAACTTCGAAATTTTAATGAAGTATAATTTTGCAAAGTGATTTTCATTTGATATTAATAATTATCATGGCTTGTGCATTTTATGTTCCTTAAAATAAAATATTAAGTATGCAATACAAATCAAATATATTTTCTTAATTTAAAAAAAAAATAATAAATAAATAAACTCAGAACTCAATTTAAAGAAATATTTCAAGTCAGAATCATGAAGATTTATGCATTTTTGGACATATAACATTTATTTATGTTGTTTGGTTGAAGTATAGGAAAAATCATTAGTGAAGTGTTAGTGAATCATTAGTAAAGTGACCTCATGAAGCATTGCTCAGGAATGGCCAAATTCATAAATCATTCAATCAACTTATCACAGAGAATGTTGCTGAGGGTGCACCAAAGAGGGTACCGGCATCCATGCCGCCTTCTGGAATTCGAACCCATGCTTAATAAATACTATGGCAACCACCATACTGAATTAGGTAGTAGGATAAAAATTAATTGGAATTTTACTTCATTGAATAATCAAATTCACTGTGAAAACATTGAAAAGCAAGTGCAACTGCAATAGAATTCAGTGGAATGTTATACAGTGGAATTTCCATTGAGTTAAAATTTTTGATTAAAACTGAATAGTTGTATTGTAGGACTAGCACAGGTATGACATACCCGACTCCTGTTTCTCAAAATATATTTTTAGAGTTGAACTAGTTCCCCCTGCTGAAAGAATGTGACCTTGAATACAGCTACACGAAATTCTAGCCTAATCTGATAAGGAAAAAGTAACAAAAACGTTAAATGAAAATGGATCGGGCGTGTCATATCCGGTGAGAGTTCTCGAGCGTTAACATTCACATGTTGCTGTCGACTGAGAAAACAATTTAATACTTGAATATTTACATGGCAAACACAGCCCCAAAAAGTTTTTGAGTGGTGTACATCCATACTTTGAATGTGGTCATGCACAAAATAATTGTAATCTAAAATATTGAGATTACAGTCTGCATTTTAACAATTGAAAAAGGAGTAAAATTTATAAAAATTAAAAAATTAGGGAAAGATCAGCCTGAACTTTTGTGTTCAACAGGGTTGCCACGCTACCTGGAAAACCGGAAAAAGTCAGGGAATTCAAAAATTGATAAAGCAATTCAGGGAAAAGCCAGGGAATTTAACTATTTTAGTCCAAATCTGGAAAAATCAAGGAATTTCATACGGCGATCCACCCCCAAAAAGCGAGTTTTGCACTGATGTTGGAAGCGATTTCTTTCTTTGCAAATTCTGTATCACGTGAGCGTCATTCTGGCAGCTGGCATAGAGCCAATTTTTGCAGCTCCAATTAGATTGTCTTTTAGAAAGGCAAAGCAAGTTTCCAGCAGCTTTGCTTTCCAGTAACCTCGAGAATCGCATGCGCATGTGCAGTGCTTGTTGAACTAAACTAAATACTTATTCTCGTATAAAACAAAATCGTTTTAATCCTGGTATACATTGCCATGGAGGTTAGAATCAAAGAATATGTATTGTTAAGAAGGAAAACTTCTCTGCAACAGGAGTGTCCCCGTTCCAACATAGAGGGAAACAGCTGCGCACAAAATATCTGTCGCCGTTGTTCGAAGCCCGTGTCAGAGTTCGAAGGTCACTTTAATCAAGTTTCGTAAAATTAATATCGTTTAAAATTTCTTTAAAGGAAAAGAAAATATTTTTTCGCTCAAGTAAATTAATTAATGGATTAGTTATTTTAAAGGGGAAAAACCCTACTAAAATCCGTGTTTAAATTATTGCGAAAAATCAAAGAAGAAACGTTTTATCAAAGAACATTTCTTCTTAACACCAGTTCCTCAATTTACTGTACACATCGCGGAGAGGGAAATTCTGGCTGCCAGGTCCTGTCACCAAATCCCTTGGGGAATTTTCCCTCTGCTCTCTGGCGGCGTAATAGGATTATGTCAGTGAAACCTGTCCTTCTTTACATAGACGTTCTTTGGTTAGAATAACCTCCATGTATGGTACACACAGGATTTAGCGACATTATGATAGCAGTAAAACAGGTCATTTTGGTGTTGGCAGCAATTTTCAAAATCGTGCCAAGGCCTTACCTTATACTAGAATTTTACTCCAAAATCTTTTAAACTTTTTTTTTTTTTTTTTCTTTTTAATAAATGCCTTATTTGTCATTTTGCAGTAAAATAAAAAAATAGTAATCAGTCATCTAGGCTAACCATTTAATATAACTATATTCGCTAAAATATCGTTGATTATTCTAATTCAATTTTTAAGTAATTATCTTTATTTTTATGTTATTCGTATCATTTAATATTGATTCTTACCTCTAAATTTATTTATTATTAGTAAATAATACTTTCAAATTTCAGAAAATTTTCTCTGGCATAACCATGAAATCAATTCTAGCAGTATGATGACATACCATCACAAAATTTAATGTGCATATTTTTTGCTTATGTATGCTGCTAAATAAATATAAAATACCTGAATTTATTTAAAAATATCATTAAGTACATTTCTTTCTTTTTTTTTTTAGCTGCAAAATATCTGCAAAAAAACTTTTTTTTTAATCCAGATTGGGCAGTTTCTAATTTCAATCCTCAGTGGAGAAAACAACTCCTATTATATTTGTAATAGTATTGCTTTGGGAATTATATATCTATATTATAAGTCATATGTAATTGGCAAATTTTTGTGTTTTTAAGTAATACCATAATTAATTTACCTCTTAGCACAGCCAACGTGCATTACTAGCAAAATGTTCAATCTGTGGATAGACTGGAATTTTCTTAAAACACCCCTGGAAAACATGGAAAAGTCAGGGAATTTCATTCTCCTGTTTGAGTGGCAACCCTGAGTTCACGTTTTTAAGCTAAACTGTTATGGTAGGTATAGTTTAAGAACTAACCCTAAGCAATTGAAGACACAGAATGTTCAATTATATGTTTGGAACAAGCTGTTCAAAAAACCAGTGCTGAAAAACAAGGAAAGGAATTTACTATGATATTATTCCATTGTAAATTAAACCACATGGAGGCATTTATTCTTATTTAATAAGGAAAAGAATTATTCAGGTGGTTGTGATACATTTTTTCACTGGAACTCTTTCATATCAGGTGATAAATATTTCCAGTTAGTGAAGTAGCAACAATTTTTGTTTTAACAGACTATAAAATCCTGCCATTAAAAATGTTAACTCTTCCTTCAAAATGTTAAAAATATTTCATTAACTAATCATTTCAACAATTACTGTCAACCAATAGCAGTAAGAGTGATTAGTGGGATTCATTTTGTGTGGCACACATTCCCTTTTCCTATGCTAACCTCTTTGTCAGATCTCAACATTCGGTGTGTTATTTGGCTCATGTCGATGAAAATTGACATTGCATTTATAATGTGTAATAGGTTTCTCCATGACTGCTGTAAAATACTTCAGCAAAAAATTAAAGTGATGCATAAGGATATAAGAAAGTACATGCTTAGTATGTAGTGTGCACAGTTATCTAAATTTTGTGCAATTGGTTTTTAAAGTTTTTTTAACCCTTTGAGCAGTGCAGATTTTTGGGTCTGTCATGAAGACCTCTATTTTAAACAGCATTTGTTAGCTAAATTTATGTATTTACTTATTTTAATTTCCATTTAAATTCAGTAAGATGACGTTTACATTATTAAAGAAAGTGTAGACACATTAGGTATTGTTTGAAAGCAGGAGAAATGAAAAATGAGCAATGCCCTTGCCGGGACTCGAACCATGAATCTCTCGGATACGTGCCGAGCATGCTGACCACTACACCACAAAGGCATGCTAAGAAGACAGGAGAAATACCTTTTAAAAGTAAGAAAACAAAACATCATAAATTATAAGCTAATATATGCCCAGTGACAAAAAATCTCATAACTGTATAAAGCCAGTCATGCCGCTCAAAGGATTAAGTAAAATTCTGAATTTTTTATGTTTGCAGAGGACATTTCTCCTATATACTTTAGGAGGATATCAAGGGTGGAGTGGATAAAGCTTCTGAACACTCTGCAGATTTGATGGAGTTTTTATCAAATACAGTGGCTTGAGCCTGCGGCATTTTTGTCATTTTCCTTGTGTGCAATATAAAATATAAGCCAGTTTTTCTTAAAAGCCCACCATAAAGTATTCTTGTAAGGAAGTTAGTCACCCATACAGTTTAATGTTTTCAGTTATACAATGTGATTCTGTATTGATTTCATAAAGCACACAGCTTTATTTATGAGAAGAAATCTGTTATTTCAGCTTTAGGTGCTTAAACTGGGTGAAGCATGGAAGCGATAAACTAACAAGCCTTTCAAAATCTGGTTCAAAAGGAGAAAAGGCTAACCTTGCTGCACACATAAGGCTTTTTGAGGCTGTTGTGATAAGGGTAAAATTTTATTTGTTTTCCATAATTTGTTCATGTATAATGCATATAAAAACAAATGCTGTATATTTCTATGTATAAGTTGAGAAGGTTTACCTAATTGTTATATTACCAGTGTTTGAGTGTTGGTGTATGTACAAGTTCAAAATGATATACAGGCAACTGGATCTCAAATATTTTAAGTTAAATAAAAAATATTACTTCTGGTTAATTTAATCCTAATGTGTAGTAACCAAAGCTCTGAGCAACTTGAAATTTTGCTAACAAGTATCTGAAGTTTTAATTTCAAGCAAATCTAGATGAATATCACCATGTTACATTTCACCATTCATGATGTAGTCATCTTTCTCACTCTTCAGCAAAAGTGATAATTTTTAATTTATAACTAGCAAAATGTTCAATCTGTTTTTGTTTGAGCATTATCTGCTATATAGCAGAAATTAATAATCGTAGTTTACATATTAACCCCTGAACTGCCGTGGAAAACGTATTAAGATTCACTCCCCAGTGCCACCATTTTTTTACACAGGCGCGCATAGTTATGTAATGTATTAGGGGGGAAATAAGCGCAAGTTTTGCTGTCTAAAACCTGTTTACTTTCACAAAATAAAGAATAAAAGAAAATACAAAAATGTAATGTTTAGAGTAAAAATATAATAAAAAAGATGTAAGTATAATAAAAATGATGCTTATATAATAAAAAAGATCCCAAAAAATGGAGTTTCTATCAATTTATTTTTAAACTAGTAAAGTGTAATATCAGGTTTTAGTGTTATACCTTGTAAAATCACCATACCTAAGTGGAATGCGTGGAGGCAGCTTGTTCCAAATCTTAACTGAAAGGAAAGGGAAACCTTACGTGAAATTCATTCTAACCCTAACATTATGATTTCTAAAGCTCAGGGAGATGGATTGTTGTTATGGACAAACACACCTATACTGATGGAATCTCCAGTCTGATAAATGAAGGCCCATACTGCTCTATTCCTTCAATATCCTTCAACTGCTGATCTCACAAAAGTAAAAATAGCTGTTCAGTTTTCTCGTGTCATCCCAGCTGAGTTAAAAAAAATCACCTATTCCATATATTGGTAACTCTGCCAGGCTCTGTGTTCTCCCTAAAATCCACAAAACTGGAATTATATTTCAGACTATAATTTTCAACTTAAAAACAGTATCAGATTCTTTGGCCAAATATTTCATTTCCAGATTTTCTGCTTTGCTTTCCAAGAATATTCACACTGTCAAAAATTCTTTTGAAATCATCGGTAACTTAAAAGATTTTTCTCCCTTGCATTCCGCTCACCAGCAGCCGAGCGGTAAAGTCGCTGAACACTAGTAGTTCGGTCCGAGGTTCGAATCCCGTGAACAGGCTGACTGCATGGGCGTTTTCGTGGTTTTCCCCATGTGTAACGTGTATACGAGCCAGTTTCCCTTAGAAAGTCGTCCACGAAGTCATCCCTCCCCTTAGGCAGATAGCCCTAGTTGTGCTTAGCCCTAATTAAATACACCACACCTCCCCTGCATTCCATTATGATTTCTTTTGATGTTAAATCACTGTTTACTAATGTTCCAGTAAAAGGACCACTAAATTGTCTTCAAAATAGACTTCGAGAATTCCACTTCACACATACTGAAATTGATGAGTTAATTTCTTTTACTAAAATCTTTTCGAGTCAAACACACCATTTTACCCAAAATGAATATTATTGCCAAATTGAAGAATTAGCTAAGGGTAACTCCTTCAGTCCTGGATTGCTGACTTTTATATATATTATTTTGAGGTGAAATTATTTGAGAAAATATCTCTCTGTCTCTGAATCCACTACGTAGAAGATACTTTGATGCTTTTTGCTGGTAATGAAGATTTATCCCAGGTTTTATCTGTTATGAGTTTGATTGATCCAGCCATCTAGGACACTTTTAAAACAAAATCTGACGATTCCCTTCCTTGATATTCTTATATTTCACCATGAATTTAATTTCAGCACTACTGTTTACCGTAAACCCTTTTCTTTTTGTTTACCGCCCCATGCCAAGTCATGTCACTCAGATAAGCAAGAAATGGCTTCTTTTTGCTATTATGTATTTCATGCTTTCAAAGTTTGTTCCCAAGAACCCTTGCTTGTTAATGAACTCAATTATTTGAGATCAGGTGCCTTTGACCAAGGATTTTTTCCCATTGTAATTGATAAAGCTTTAGACATTTATTTTTAGCTTGCCATCAAAGAAGAGGTTCTTCTATCAGAAATAACATTAATAACCTTGTCATGCCTTCATATAAAACTGTATGTATTATCCAGAAGTTCAAAAAGTTATTTTCTCGCCTATCAATAAAATCCATGGTTTGATTATTAAAGATCCCATGTCTGACTTCATGCCAGTGTGGTTTCAGATACACTGGCCAAACTAAAACAGCATTAAAATTTCATATCAAGGAACATAAACCTTATGTGTGAATGAATCTTCAATAACTAATCGTGTTGGAAATTTAATCATAATTTTGACTGTGGGTCTAGAAAAATTATTCAAAAAATTTCTTCAATTGGTGAATTGGATTTTTTTTTTTTTTTTTTTTTTTTTTTTTTTTAAGCTTTTCACGTTTACAAAGATTTACCTTGTTTAGTTAATGACCGTAAGTCCAATCCTGTCTTTCGCTTTTAAAATTCTGTTAACTAATTTTTTTTTTCAATTTCATTAATATTTTTGCTGACAGATGTCGCTACCTTCTTGTTCATTTTACCTTTGGGATTAAATAAATATGATCGCTATGCCCACTGCTTTCCAGTGTTGCAGATCTTGACTTAATCTACACCAAACTCAAGTTGTTACATTACTAAATTTATGTTTTACTTGACATGTTTCTCTTCTATTTTCAACACTGCGAAAGATTTTTTTTTAATGCTAGAGATATGCTGTTTGCAAATATTTTATGATTTTGCTGCTGAAATTTCAACACTGCAAAAGATTTTTTTAAAAATATATTCTAGAGATATGCTGTTTGCAAATATTTTGTGATTTTGCTGCTGAAATTTACATGTCGTAGGTGCAAAGAAAATTGTATTAATAAATGAAGTTAGAAAGACAAAAAGTTACAAACGCTAAGTACTTTTTTTTTTTTTTTTTTTTTTTTTTTTTTTTTTTTTTTTTTTAAATTTTGAAATGGTTCAGATTTTAATGTCAAATGAAAGGGCTGATCTTTTCCTTTGATGTCAGGTTTTCTTCTTTTGACAACAAATGTTCAAATTGTTTAGTTTCTTGGCCTTTTTTTTTACTTAGACTGATATTCTTCATTGTTCCTATTTTGTTTGTTATTGTCTCTCTTGTTTTTCATGTGGTGAATACTTTTCCTCTTTGGCTAACTAATATTGCAGCACCTCTTTCTTTGAAAAATGATACAGACATCAAAAGTGATACAACGCAAAATTTATTTAGTAAAAATTTGGTTTGAGACTAGTAGACCTTTCAGACTAATAATAAAGATAAGAAAAGCTATGTAAGTAGTCTTATTAAGAAAGTTGAACCTTGATATGATAAACTGAGAAAAGAATGAAAAATATATATCAGAAATTATAAACATATGCTGTTGTTAAGAATTTTGTGTTTTTGCAGTTGAATTTTGTGGCAAAAGTGTAGAGATAGTGATGTTTAATAATAAAATTAAAAAGGGAGAAAAGTTATATTGGTCATCTGATTAAGAAAACTGAACATTCATATGATAAACTGAGAAAAGACTAAAAAAATTACAGAAATGTATCACAACATTTAACACAATATTGGAAAATCTAAAAATATGCTACTGTTTTGTTACTGAATTTTATGTGTCATTAAGTGGAAAAAATTATGTTTAGTAATAAATTTAGAATGACCCCCCCCAAAAGGGTGCATTAGTTGCTATGAGTTAAAGAGCAGACTGGGAAAGTGCGAGCTCATGCAGAGCATCAATAACCTTAAGAAACCCTCTTTTGCAGTGTTAAATTCTGAATCCTTTTGAGTTTTATATATTTATTTATTTTTCTCTCTACTTTTTGTTTAATTTCAATTATTAATTCTATGCAAAAAAAATTATGGATTTTTTTTTTAAATCTGGGAATGAACAATATAATACTAAAAGCAGGTATATGATCCCCCCAAAAAAAGTTGAGATTACTGTGTGTCACTTTCAAACATCTGCTGGCTAACAAATGACATCATGAGTAGTGACAATGTCATTCATGACTGTTCACTGACACGTTGTCAGGACTTGTGTTTCTCTTGATTTGCTTTGGAAACATAAATGATCCTGAATAGGAACAGGGAGCTTACTCAAGCTATGTTCAAGAAGGTGTGAAGTAGACAGCACAAGCAGGAAGGGTATATGAAACCCTTTATTATCAGTACTTTACAGGCACTTCCAAACTTCGGAATACAAAGCCCAACCACTTGTGGTCTGAACGTAAGAATATAAAAACTACTAACTAAAACTCTAACTAAAAAACTAACTTTGAATTAGTATACAAATGCCTAGCACTAAGACTGGCCTTCATTTAAAAAAGGTACGTATGTAGTATGCCGAGCTGCTTAAACTACAATACGTTGCAAATGCAAGAGGACTAACCTCAATTTGATATTTGGCCTTCAGCTTTTTTTTCTGTCCAAACCTCTGGCCTTAAAGACAACCAGCAACAGAGTGAAAACTCGTGAAACTACAGTGGCAAGTGGCTTGCTTCCTATAACTCCTTCTCTCTCTCTCTCTTGGCAAAAAGCCACAACTTAAGTACTTGGGCGTTCACAAGACAATTTGCATAAACAAGTTAAAGCATTTAATTCTGGCCAGAAGTAGAAAATAAGAAGTGATAGTACAGTTTTAAAATAAAATAAACATTAGTAAAACTTAGGATCCTTACAATGTCAAAACAAATTATTGCTAGCAGCATATCATGGACTCTAGAAACTAATAAACATAAAGTGTCATTTACATTTGAAAATAGGTTTGTATCCTAAATAAACCATTACTCATTTAA